TATGAATGAATGAGTGAATGAAAAGCATGAAGAAATGTTTGCTGAATGATCTACTTACCTCTCCGTCATTACCTTTCAGCACCTTCCATGTTCTTGGTGTTCAGAACATGTCTGATGAATCAACTTTATATCTAAATGTATAGGTAGTATGTTTACTCTTCCTTAAACCTGCGGCTACCTGCTCTTTGGTTCCACTGAACTTCTTGTGAAGTTCTGAGTTGTAAAGGAGGAATGCTGGGCTTCAACTCAGAAAAGTCTGGGGTTGGGTCCTGGGCTTACCTCTTAATAATTACAACAAATATGGTTTTTAGAACAAAGCAAGCTTTATTCAGGCAGAGAAAAAGAAAGATACCAGGGTGCAGGCACCACTATGAAAGAAGCAAAAAGTATGCATCTGAGTGGATGTGAGCCAACTCATGAAAGAATTGCCTGCAACAGGCATTTTTGAACATAGATTGTGCCAAGTCCTAGGCTACATCTTTTACACACATTGTCTTAGTTTATCTCAACCTCTATTATAAGTCATGCACTTATATTATAATTATCCCCATTATACAAGTAAGAAAGCAAAGAGAAAGGATAGCATCTTGTTCAAAGGAATATACTTAGTGGCAGAGCCAACCTATAAACCCAGACTTAATTCTAGCTTCTATTACATTTGAACAATTTCATGTTATGTGACATTAGTCACTTAACCTTCATGCCCCTATTTCCTTACCTTTAAAATAACTAAAATACTTGCTCTGCCTGAGTCGATTATTTCAAGTTGGAAAATACATATATGTCAAAATAATTTTTTAAAAAGATTTTATTCATTTTTAGAGAGAGGGAAATAGAAGGAGAGAGGGAGAGAAACATCGATGTGGAGAGAAACACCAATCATTTGTCAACACCTCCAACCTGCGGACACGGCCTACAAGCCGGGCCTGCACCCTCATTGAGAATTGAACCAGCCACCTTTCTGTTTACAGGACAATGCCCAACCCACTGAGCCACACACACCAGTCAGGGCTCAAAAGAGTTCTTTTAAAAATGTTCCACATTAATGTGAATATTACTATAATTCTCTGAAATACAACTTATCAACACATTCCTATTCTCTAGTCCTGTGATATTGTATTTATTCAAAGAACACATTTAGATATACTAGGCATTTACAGCCGAAACACCATGTTTGAGGTTTAAAACTATATTTGAGAATCAGATATTCTGCTATAACATAACTTTTTTTTCCAACAAAAAGTTGGAGATGTGGCTCAAATGTAAGATGTATTTCCTAAGAGATTATTATGAAAACCAAAATTAATCATAACAAGACCTCACCAGCTCATTCCATTCTGCTGTCCCACTAACTTGCCCTGAATTAGGAACCTGACGTGCAGTCTTGATCCATGGGGACTCTGGGATGCTCTTGGAAAATGCCAAGCATTGCAGCAATTGAGGCAATCTGCATTCCACCATAGAGAGTGGGTTGGACTTGTAAATTCAGGAAAGCAACTGGTTTGACTCAATTGTTTGACTGTATTCATAGTTCATTTTATTAAAGCAATCATACCGATGTGTGAGTTCTATGTAAATTGTGTTTACTGCATTTCTTAGTAGAAACCTCGTAAATGGGCCATCGGTGTATATAAACTAATAGATTTGTTGTTCAATTTGCTTTCTGTTCCTCTAGTTTGAGTATCTATGTTTTGTAGATATCTCTTCATGGGTATCTGGTATTGCACTTGGGTTCTATATTCTCTGAGGCCCAGAATAAATTCTTTCTCAACACATCGGTGAGCGGTGAGCGTGTACACTATTCCCTAGAGAAAAAGAGGAAATTGACAAGCTATGGAGGGATTAAAGAGTTCAGATAAACTCAGTTCCTTAGGCAGGCCTTCTGGCAACCTTTCTGCACCAGGGCACTTAACACTTTCCTTGCTGCAGTGCAACCCCTTACAGCTCAGGGTTTAGGGCTTCCTTGTTAAATCAAGTGCCCCAGTGTTGACACAGTGTCTGATACATGTAGTAAGTGCTCAGTGTGTGTGTATCTGTGTGGAGAGAGGAAGAGAGAAAGGGGAAAGGAGAAAATAAAACTTTACGATTTGAAAGAGCAGAGAAAAAAATATCAGGCAAAGGACTCCAACCTAGCTAGCATTTATTTGATACCTGATACTCTGAGCACTATGATAAACATGTTGAGATTTCATAAAATCCATGTATGAAACTTTATGCACTTGACTTATCCGGAAACCTTTTAGGTATTTCCTTGCAGCCTATTAAGTTTTGACTACTGTAACAAACATCTGACTTCCTACTCACAGGATTAGAAGCAGAGTATTAATGATGTGATAGAAGCTACTATGGATATGTGACAGTAACGAGAACTGACATCCTCAGAAGGAAGACATAAACTATATGTAACAAAAAAATGAATATCAATATTCAAGCCACTGCTTTTCCTCAGCCCACAAAGAACAGTGTGTGTGTGTTTCCTGGGCTTTTACTGTGTAGCAGAGAGACAGTAAGTGGAGGAATAAGAATAGATCTGGGTAACGAAAATCAAGAGAAATATTAACCAGGAGATATTTGAAGGGAACTTACGGTGTTCTGAGAGGGGGTGAAGAAGGCAAGACTTAAAGAAGTTTTCCTCAGGGTTGTGAATGTATTTCCCCTTTAATTACTATTTAGAAAATCTTTTAATTTCAACGTAATTAGAGATTCACAGGAAGTTGCAGAGACAGTACTTAGTGGTCCCATGTGCCCACTCCTTTATGTATTTATTTGATTTCCTAGTTATTATTTTTTTTTGAGAGGTGACTGTAATGGGTTGTTTGGTGTTAGATTAGTGTTTTCTCCAACTGTGATATCTTACTATGACAGGCCATACAAAGGTTTAGTTTTTAATATAGAAAGCAGATATGATAATTTTAAAAATCACATCAGACTAAATGTGGTTAATGTGCACTAAGTCCTTAAAAAAACCTAAATAGACCAGGAAATCTGTGTACTACCATACAATGATTGATATTAATAACTGTGATCGTGAGTTACACACAAAAAATTAGTATTCTCTGTTTAAGTGTCAACCAAAAAGCATGAAATAAATGTGTGGGTTTTATAGCCAAAAATTGGAAACAAACCAAATATCTACCTGTGGGGAATCAGTAAACTATAGTACATTTAGTCAATGGAAGAATATACATGCATTAAAAATGAAAGTATGTAAACATATTCATCTATAATATATAGATATATGTTGTCACAGGAAATGTCCACAGTACATATTCATTGTTTTACATGCTATAAAAAAGTTCTTTAATATAACTCCATCTTTGTGTGTGTATTTCTGTATGACTTACCAGCTGTCTGTATGTTGTCAAATCTAGTGATCATTTCTTTGTCATTATATTTGACCTCAAAGTAGCATATGATGTACTTAAGCACTTGTCTTTCTTCAAACGCATTCTCCTCTTCTTTCTAAGAGACTACATTTTCTTAGTTTTCCTTCTGCTTCTGTCTCATCTATCTCCTTTTCTCCTGCCCTCTGTCTGATCTCAATAAATGGAATGCTCTGTGGTGTGGTGTTGGTCTCTAGTTTTTTCTCAGGATTTATTGTCTCCCTCTGTGATCTTATAAGGTCTTTTGGTTTTAAATACCACCCAAGTGCTTATGATTTGAGATTTTTTATTTCCAACTCTGCCTTTTCTCCCTAGTTTCAGACTGTTAAACTCAACTCTCAGACAGATATTGATCCTTGGATATCTAATATGTCTCTTGAATTTAAAATATCCATAATAGTATTCTTTTTTGTAAATTTTAAAAAAGGTTTTATTTATTTTATACAGAGGGAAAGGGGGAATAAAGAGAGGGAGAGAAACATCAATGTGTGGTTGCGTCTTGCGCGCCCCCTACTGGGGACCTTAGCTGGCCCACAACCAGGGCCTGTGCCCTGACCAGGAATTGAACCAGCGACCCTTTGGTTCTCAAGCCAGTGCTCAATCCACCAAGCCACACTGGCCAGGGCCAAAATAGTATTCTTAACCTTTCTCTGTACTCTAATGCATCCCTATGTATGAGCTCTTTACTGCCTTTTGTCTTTATATCTTAACCATGGTTCTGCTCACTCACTTTGCTTCCATCTAACTTACCTTTTTTCTGGTTCTTAGACATACCAAATTTACTCTTATCAGGACCTTTGCATTTTGTGCTCCCTCCTCCTGAAATTCTCTTCCTTCTCATTTTCAGTTGGCTTCTTGTCATTCAGATCTCAGCCATCATCTCCTTGGAGAGCTCTTTCTTGGTCACCATGTCTAGAGTTGCTCTCATCCCTGAAGAACTCCCTACCTCTAATTTTATTTTATTCATAACACTTGTATTGTATGAACACCTGTGACCAGAATACCTTTGAAGAATTCTTGGCACAGAATAGGTGTTTACTTAATATATATGTCTGCATATAAATAAAGTTAGGATATATACCAAACAGTTAATAACAGTTACCTTTGAGTGGGGAGAATTAGGGAAGGTAAACTATGAATTGACTTTCACTCTCTATCAAGATATATTTCAGTTAGTTTTAAGTTATTTGAAATGAAATTATGTTCTTTTAACTATTAGAACAATTAATATGCATATTTTCAATTAGAAAAAATGGTTGATAAAGTTTTGATGCCTACATAAAGCAGCTTAATTGAAAGATGCATTTATATGAGATACTTTCTTCAGGATGTTAATTTAGTAACATGCTACCATGTATAGTAAAAGAGCTATGATTTTGTAAAGGCAACAAAACATGAAGCTCCAGAAACATTTCACCTAGTTCTCTTTCTTTTGAACTTGACCACTGTATCTCTCATAAGTCATTTAAATTGATTATTTCTTCAAAAGGTAACAGATCAAATAATTAGCTTGATAATAACTTATGCTTATTTTTCTTTTAATTATTATATTTTACATTTAAGTTTAATATGTTCATCCTGAACAGGTTTATTTGTTTTCATTATAAACATACTAACCTTGTAATATTAGCTGTCATTCCCAGGTCTGAATGTTAAGTCAGCATGTGTTTGAAAGACCTTCAACTTATCAAGTATTGCAAGTCTCTGATTGTTTTGGAACTTCTTCTGATACCTGTGGACTTAGTTCAAGGCCAGTTATTTTTTTTTTAATAGGATGAACAAATGGTTAATTGTTTGCTTTGGTCACTCAAGTGCCAGAATTTACTATGTATAAAAAGTCTAGCTGCAGTTTCTGGTCAGCAACATCCTTACCTTTCTGTTCAGGTCCTCCTCCTCAGAGGTTTGCCGTTAGATTTGCTAAATGATGACTGTATCTTTGATCTGGGGGATTGTGATATCTATGTGCTGTTGTTTATGGCTTATTCTTGGAATAAGGAGAAGGTAAAAAAAGTTTTATCTTTAAATTGCATCTAATTCATTCAGTAAATGTTCTTTTACATTCATTGTTTACAATAAACTTGGCTTTCTGTACTTACACTAAAATTTAATTTTCTTCTCAAATTAAAAAAATTTAAATTTAAATTTTTAGAATGGTATCTTTTAAGCTATATTTAACAAAAGGTATGCTGGAAATTTTTTTTTTGCATTAGTATACCAATGGTAGTGCAAAAATGTACAAACTTGTTAAACAAAACTGACAGCAATTTATGAGATCTCTGTGTATGTTTATGTGGACATATAAAGAAGTTTGGATTAGTAAAGATACATGTGATAAGTAGGATCTGCAATGAAAAGAATGTCTTTCTATCATGGGGATCAAATAGTTGTTCTAACTAAATAAATTTTCTCTTTTCAGCTAGTTTTTGTGCATTGTATAGATTTAGCCTAAGTGTAGACAAGAGCGTAGAGCCTGCATTGATCATTCTATCATTTTTTTTTCTTATTAAAGACTTCAACCATGATGAATTGGGAAACTGCTCAGTGTATGTGACATCACTTTTATTTGTATTTGTCATTTATTTATAACTGATTCAAGAATGCAAGAAATACAAATAGAATCAGATATATAGCCAAAGTTTAACTTTCAATTGGCTAGAAGAGTATTTGTGGGGTGGGGTGGGGGACTATGTAAAGATTCTCTGTGATGTCAGTCTCCAAAAGATAGAATTACCTATGGTATATCTTCAAGTGTGTAGATTGTTATGTGTTGTATACCTTTTACAAGTATGTCCTGTCCCTTAAAATGTTTTAATTCAGGCATGATAGTTTCTAGTTTTAATGAAACTTCTTATCTTTGAACTAAGAAAATAAATATAATTGTTTTATGCTATGTTATTCTATCAAGAGGGATAGTAGTTTGTATTGGGAAATAAATGTTTATATTCTTTAATAAATACATTTAAAACAGCATGAAAGAGTACTGAATTACAGTCAATGATTCTGTCAATCCTTATCTTAATTTCATTTTATAAGCTAATTTCTCAAATAAGATTCTCCTTAACTATCAACATAGAATAATATCTTTAAACTATGAAAATTGTGAAAACTTCAATTCTGCAAACCTCTCTGTTATTCAGTATTCTATATCTCTAAATAAAACAATAAAATAGGCAAATTATGCTTAGAAAAATATTAATATTAGAAAGTATTTTGATCTCTGTATCAGCAGCACAATTCTTGTTGGCCTTGTTCATCCTATTATCCTTATCATTAGGAAAAGTGACTAATATATAGTAGACATTCAGTAAGTGTTGTAGAATGTATCATGGATGTGTGGGTGAGTTTTATAACCATTTTCACCAACATATCATTTTACTAGGTTAATATAGTCCATTATTTTAGTAAAAGATCAGGGACCCAGCAACACTAAAAAGTATCTATAAACTGTAGAGTTTTGAAGTTTGAAGTCAATAGTAAAAATTTAAAAACCTCATGTAAATATAAGGCTGTGTAATTTTCCATGTCTATCATATGTTTGTGTCTTAAGAAAAATGGGTGAACCACCCCTGGAGAATGGGCTAATTCCATACCTGGGATGTGCTCTGCAGTTTGGTGCCAATCCTCTTGAGTTCCTCAGAGCAAATCAAAGGAAATATGGTCATGTTTTTACCTGCAAACTAATGGGAAACTATGTCCACTTCATCACAAATCCCTTGTCATACCATAAAGTGTTGTGCCATGGAAAATACTTTGATTGGAAAAAATTTCACTTCACTACTTCTGCAAAGGTAACCTCTTTTGCATTTATACAGTTTTCTGTTTATTTTCTACTTTTTAAATATGTCAGTCTACTTAGTTATTTTGTTGAAGTTCAACATCTACTTAGAGACGTTGAAGAGAGTTAAGCTAACATGAACATTCTTAGAAAGATAATCAAATTACACATAACCTGTTGGTACTGATCATTTAAAAAGTCAAAATAGGTATAATGTCATTTTTTAACCAGCTAATGAAGGTTAAATAAAAAATATTTTACTGGGTCAGATGACATTGTATGAGTAAGATAGGTACAAATTCACTCACGCCAACCATGTCTACACAACACGCAGAGGGCATGCGGTGAGAACTTAATATTGAACAATTGTTTTACCACACACATGCCACAACTTTGTTTAATTTTATTAAGGAATCAACCAGAGATTTTGGCATCACTTGGGTGTAATCTGAGAGGCTCTTTTATAGAGAAAATAATTATATTTTGCCATGTATAATGCCCAATTTTTTGCCCAAATTTTTGAGGGAAAAATAAGGATGCACATTATATATGGGTAGTACTAATTCTGTACTTATGTAAATGTTTTTAATTCTTTTATGTATGCTTATGTGTTAAAAGTGTAACTCTAGAAAGCAATAATGATATCCATATGTTGAAAAACAAATGCTAAAATTCCTTTATAATACAGAAAACAAGTCTCTAAATATAAATAAATAAATGAATTAAAAAATTAAAACAAAAGATTTTTTTCCTAAAAGTTTGGACCAAAAACATGGGTGCACATTATACCCTGCAAAATACGGTAACCAACATTAACTGAGTCTCCGCAAGGAAATATTAGACATGGTGTCTGCCTCTAAGTAAATTAAAGTCTGGTTAAAACACATATACAAAGAATATTAAAGAGAACTAATGCTTAAAAACCACTATTGATTAGTACCAAATTAACATGCAAATAAGTGCCTTAGCATAATAAAAATAAGAAAACAGACAAATAGAGTCATTGAATGAAATTTCACTGAGGAGCCGGAGTTTAAACTTGGCCCTAAAGAAAGGGTATAAGTTGGCCATTTATTAGTAAAATGCTATGAAATTGTTTGTGGAAAGGCCAGTTTCTATCCCCTTTTTAAACAACTGGACTTATTAAAAAATGAAACTTTCCCAATTATCAAAATATCTATTCTGTTTTTCAGCCGTTTACTAGCACTGGGTCAGGTTTAATTTCTTTTTTCACATGTTTTGTTTACTGTCAGGCATTTGGGCACAGAAGCATTGACCCAAGTGATGGAAATACCACTGAGAACATAAGCAAAGCTTTTGTCAAGAATCTGCAGGGTGATGCCTTGAATTCCCTTACAGACGCCATGATGAAAAACCTCCAACTTGTCCTGAGACCTCCAGTCAACCCTGAATCAAAGATGCCTGCCTGGGTGACAGAAGGGATGTATGCCTTCTGCTACCGAGTGATGTTTGAAGCTGGGTATTTAACTCTCTTTGGCAGAGATCATACAGGGCAAGATGCACAAAAAGCACTCATTCTAAGTAAACTTGACAACTTCAAGGAATTTGACAAAATCTTTCCGGCCCTGGTAGCAGGCCTCCCCATTCATGTGTTCAAGACAGCACACCAAGCCCGGGAAAAACTGGCAGAGGGCTTGAGGCACGACAACCTGGGAAAGAGAGACCACATGTCAGAACTGGTCAGGTTTCTGAATGACATGCTCTTCACCTTAGATGACGTGGACAAGGCCAAGACGCAACTCGCTGTTTTGTGGGCATCGCAAGCAAACACCATTCCAGCCACTTTCTGGAGCCTATTTCAAATGATGAGGTAAACAGAAATTTATTCAGTTCTTTCTTTTTTTTTTTCAGAAGAAGGCAGAAATTCAACTCTTAAAAAGAATCATAAGGAGTGTAACTGGTAAACGTGTCTTACAGAGGCAGAACTTTGCAGGGAAAGGAATGTGCTGGTGCAGGGTCCATTCAGCCACCTGGGCCCGGAACCCTTGCTCTTAACCCCAGGTTTTTTGTCATGACACTTATTTAAGTTCATGAATTTGGTCTTTGTAATCATAAAAATATACTTAAGTGATGACTGACTTATGGACAACGTAGGTGCAGAGCTCTGCTTTATTGATTTGTATATTACCAGTATGTTTTTCACTCAATTAGTAATCTGTTCTACTGTTGTTTACTTTTAAATTTTTATGTATTGATTTTTAGAGAGAGAGAGAGAGAGGAATGGAAAGAGAGAAACACCAATTTGTTCTTCCACTTATTTATCCATTCATTGGTTGCTTTTTGTATGTGCCCTAATCAGGGATCAAACCTACAACCTTGGTATATTGGGACACAGCTCTAACCAACTGAGCTACCTGGCCAGCGCCTCTGTCTTACTGTTTATTTGACCAACTATAATAGCTATGGATCCATTATTCCAGATGGGATTTAGCTAGATTTTGCCTTTCACAACTGTATGTAGCTAAAAACAAAACAAAACAAAACAAAAAACCAACAACACAAATCTGTATATGTGTTATTTTAATAAACATGATTTCTTTCCAAAATGTTAGTTTTTGGAAATTTGACCTTCAAATGGTTTATTGAATTATTCCAGTTAAATGGGAGGTTTATTATCATGTAGACACAAAATTACTATTCCCTGGGATTGAAAATACCAAATTTCCATTGATAGCTGATAATTTTATGTCTGTAATATAAAAAAAATTTTCAAAACAATTTCAGATTAAAAAAACCATTATCAATCTGTCTTAAATGCTAAATATCTTTCAGAGTTTTACTTGAGAGAGCTCTGTCAAGAACAAAAGCACATATTTACAGTAAACTTACAGAATTAATTAATGTCATATAGGTAATAGTCATTTTATGGTAATCACACAAATACTTATCAGATAGCAAACATTTCTGAGAATCAATGAACTGTAATCACATCATGTAGATTTTTTACCATGGCACTGAGGCTCCAGTAAACTTCAATGCATTAAAATGAAGTGGCATTCATTTCACAAGTCAAAGTGCTAGAACGATTATAAATGGAAAAACTGTTGTTCTATTTGAAATCATGGTATAGATTTTAGGAGTAAATTTAAATTTCCATCTGTAATTTAGCCAGTACTTTACAATCATTATTTTTAGATGCAATTTTTCTTCTCAGTTACTATGTAAATGACTAATTTGACCATTTAATTTTTACTAGAATCATTTGTAAAAATATCGCCAGTTTTACTTCTCCATAGCAAGGCCCTTTTAAGGCAGCAATTCTTGCTAATATCCAAGGACTTACACACAATTACAAAATAAAGTTAAAAAACAAGGAAATATCCCCTTTCTACCTTTTCTCTGTTATTCTGATGACCTATTTAAAAGATAGGGGGAAAGCCTATGTATTTGCAGATTTTTTTGGTATAGAAAAAATTTATTTGCTGTACATCTTTTCTTTTCTCTTAACTTTTCATAGAAGCCCTGAAGCAATGAAAGCAGCTACTGAAGAAGTGAATAAAACACTAGAGAATGCTGGTCAAAAACTCAGTTTTGACAACAAACATATTTGTTTGAATCAAATGCAACTGAATGACATGCCAGTACTAGGTATGCATAACTTACTATATTACATTTCATTTACCACTTCCTACTAACAGTTATTGTCAGTATATATCATACACTTGCTTGTTTTAGGCATAATGCTAAGTATATCCTATGTCTTGTCTCTTTTGACATTCACAGCAACCTATGATTAGAAACTATTTCTATTCCTATATAACAAGTAAGGAAGCTGACACTTAGAATCTAAGTTGCTGTCCAGCATGAAATGGTAGAACCAATTAAACATTGATGTGGGGCTCTTGACCCTACACTCTCAACCACTTCTCTGCACTTCATACTCTCTTTTGCTATTATTCTTACACTAATTTTACAGCTAATTGGGAGCATATTATTCATTTTCATGAAATACAGGGGGAAAAATTACCATCAAGAAATCATAATTAGCCCTGGCTGGTGTGGCTCAGTGGGTTGAGCACTGGCCTGTGAACCAAAAGGTCACTGATTCAATTCCTTGTCAGGGCATATGCCTGAGTTGCAGGCCACGTCCCAGTTGAGGGTGTGAGAGAGAAAACTGGTTGATGTTTCTCTCACACAGAGATGTTTCTCTTCCTTTCTTTCTCCTTCCCTACCCCCTTCCCCTCTCTATAAAAATAAATAAATAACATTAAGAAATAATTTGCATTTTAAAAAGAGAAATCACAATTAGATGCATGGGTTCGGTAATGAGACTGAAGGTTTTTCTTATTTTTGCTTTTTTGTATTTTATAGAAACACCTAAAATTTATGTTTTATCATAAGAAAGAATTTTCTTTTTGTTTTTGTTATTTTTGACTATGGGAAAGAAACTAATGTGTGCTTTTAGGGGCAGTGTGTGTCAGTGGAAGGGACTAGGAGGCCAGAAGTATAGGTTCCACATTGTGATCTGTCATGGGAGACCTTGGCCATGTCACCACTTCTGGGGGCCTTACTTTTCTCATTTGTAAAATAAAGTGCTAGCATGCTATGATTTTACACACAATCACATGAGGAGCACCCAAAACATAATTAAAAAGGTAGAGGCTGGAAGGACAGTCTGATATGCTTCATTGATATGATATGAACCTATGTTCATTAGTTTGACATGTTTTAGCTACTCACAGGGTAATTCTTTTTGTCCCTTTATATCTTTACGAGACAGCAGGGCCTTGCCATATGGTACCAGAAGGTATAATGATAAAAACTGGGTTTTATCAACACTGAATTGAAGCTGCATTAAACATCTGGCAAAATAGTTCTATATTCAAATATT